GGAAGATCTCTGGTTCAAGCCCCGGTACCGACAACATCAAAAATGTGGGTGGGGTAGGTGAAGCACCCACACCTGCCGTCACCTCCATTCGTCCCACTCTGGGCCCATGAACAAGGCCCTTAACCCCCACCTGGCCCTCCGGGTGTCCTGGATGGCAGCTTTCTGCTCCACACAGAGGACTGTGGTAGCTTGGTGTCTGTGGTTGCATCAGGAAGGGCATCCGGCGTAAAAATAACTGCCAAGTCTTTGTGCAACTTAGTTCGCTGTGGCGACCCCTGACGCAGGGAGCAGCCGTAAGAAGAAATTTATACATATATATATATATATATATATATATATATATATATATATATACATACTGTATATACAGTATACTATTTGTGAGCAGTCAGTATCTTACCTGCAGTACTCTTAGGTCAATCTGTATCAGTTTGAAAAGTCCAGGAGGAATTCACATGAGGGAGTAACACTAACAGCTATTTGGACTCATTTAACATCTTACCTTTCCATCAATCTGGTTTCAGGAAACAACACAACACAACAACTACTTCGCTGAAGGTTCTTAATGACGCTGAAGTACTGGATGCTAAGGATTATTGTGCTGCACTTTTCTTAGACCTGTCTAAAGCTTTTGACTCTGTGGATCATAACATCTTGTGTCATAAGCTCTCAGAAATCAGTTTCTCAGAACACACTATTGGTTGGTTCTCCAACTATCTCTCAGACGGGAGGCAATGTGTTCAACATAATGGTACTTCCTCCAGTTATTTAACAGTCAACAATGGTGTACAACAAGGCTCAGTCTTAGGTCCCACCCTCTTTACAATCTACATAGCTAATGTATGTCAGGGCATCCCTGATGCATCCTTACATTTCTATGCTGATGACACAGTTGTTTATTGTCGAGCTAAAACTGTTGCTAAGGCTTTCCAGCTTTTGCAATCTGCATTCAAGATCATCCAGTCAGATTTGTTCCATCTCAAACTTGTCCTAAACACAGATAAAACCTAAACACAGATAAAACCAAAGGGATGCTTTTTTCAAACAGGAAGTCGGTCCCAGCAGTTCTTCCTTAGATTTTATCCTCAAATGGTGTCCCTATTGAGTTTGTCAATTCTTATGAATATCTGGGTATCTTGGTCAATTCGCATCTCTCTTTGAAGCTCCATGTGGAAAACTTGGAAAGAAACTGAAAGTTAAACTGGGTTTCTTTTTCAGAAACAGATCCAGTGTAACTTTTATTGCTAGGAAACGCCTTGTATCTCTGACATTCCTCCGGTCCGTTGATTACGGTGACATTATTTACATGAACGCTCCTACAAGAACCCTGCAGATGTTGGATGCTGTCTATCATGGTGCACCAAGATTCATAACTGGCTGTGATTATCGTACCCACCACTGCAACCTGTATTCACTGGACATCATTAACTTCACGCAGACTCTCCTACTGGTATGTTTTCATCTTTAAATCACTTCTTGGTCTGCTGCCTTCATACATCTCCTCCTACATGTCACAGCATGAGTGCAGCTACAGCGTGCACTCTCAGGACATTATTACCTGCAGTGTTCCCTCAGTGCAGACTGAGGCGAAAGGGCCTTCTCCTACTCCGCTCCTGTTTCCTGGAATATCTTACAAAAAGATCTGAAGCTCTCGACCTTGACCTCTCTAAGTGGCTTTAAGAATCTGCTAAGTTCATGGTAAAAACCAATACAGACATGTTCCTGTTTTTAGTTTTCTACATCACCTTACAACCTATCTGTTCTTTTTTTGTTACATTTTCTTTTACATACCATTTTATTTTCACTTGTTATTCTCAATTTGTATGCATCCTTTATGCTTGTCGATTATTGTCTTTGTTGTCCGCTGTTGTCATCACTCTTTGTTAAAATCAGGTCTCTCTTGTAAATGAGTCTCTGAGGCTCAATGGGATTAACCTTTCTAAATAAAGGTTGAATGAAAAACATCTACTCAGAGCCAAACAAAACTCCACCATCTGAAACATCCATCCATTATCTTTTACCCGCTTTTTCATTTTCATGTAATGGGGGTCAAAGGTGCCCATATCCAGCAATCACTGTGCGAGATGCGATGTATACCCAGAACAGGTTGCAAGTCCATCACAGGGATATCTTAAAAAACGTTTTAAAAGTTGTAATACTCTTGTAATAAAAACCCTGCCACTAGATGGAAATAATTTCCACATCTACAACAAATCAAAATAAAGCGGAGGACAAACATTCTTAATATTGCTACATACTTCCTGAGACATAAGGCCTTTGCTGTTGCTCATGTGGTTGTGGTTCTCATGTGGTAGTGAGAACTGAGAACTTCTTTCTTACATTAACCTTTTATACTCTGAAGAACATCGGCAGTGCAGAACTGCTGGTAAGCCCTCTCCCCGCAGCAAATGTCACGCACCAACAGAAACAACACAGAGAGAGCACGGATGGCAGAGATGGAGGTTTAAAGTTTTAGTTAATGATGGAAGAGTTAGTGGAGAAAGATCTGATGTTTCTGTTGATACTGAAGAGAAGTACTAAATTGCAAATTTGTCACGAAGAGAATGTCACCATTTCCGACAGATTGTACATAATAACGTGTGAACGTTTCCAAACAAAATGCTCAGCCGAGCTGTATATCCTCACGGTCAGCACAACCACAAAGAGACTCCTGTATCTCAGCTGTCTTGACTATCTTTATGTTTTATTTGACGATCTTCTTAAGATTTTTTTGACTACCTTTATAAGTTTTGATGACATAGTTGTAAAGATGGTTGTATTTTCTAACAGCCTCGGCCACCTGCTCCTCAGCGGAGCAGTTGAAGTGAAATGAGAGCTGTCTAGTTCACCTGCTTTTCTGCATGAACACAGTCACAAAGTTCTCACCAATCACACTGTATAGCGTACTTAGAACCGTGCAAGAAAAAAAAAAAAAAAGAACCATGCAAGAAAATGTTGCCAGACGTTTGAGCACAGGATGGGTCCTCAAAAAACCTGCAAAATCAAACAAACGTAACTGTTGTCACACGACTGGCAAAATGAGATTAACATTCATAATGACTTGTAAAGTATATATCAGGCGTTCACCTGCCTTGTTTCATTTATTCATTCAAAACATGAAGTGGGTGAGTGGTGGTGCAGAGGCTAGAGAAGGTGGGCCTGTGATCAGGAGGTTGTAACAGTCAGTATGTATTTTACTATTGTAGTACCATTTTAACGCCACATGATGGCGCCTCCTTTATTTGCTAAGTCATCGTAGAAGTCAGTGGTGTAGCTGGGAGTCTTGCAGTGTGTACCTGCTTAGCTGCTCCGCTCAGCCTCAGTAATGAGTGCTGAAGGATATACAAACTATACTCTATGTTATACATATACATTTATGCCGTGGAGATCTGGCATTGTATAATTTCCAAGTTTTGTAATAAAGTGCAAGTGAGAATCGATCTATCGATCTTTTCCAAGCTATGCCGGAACTCATGCTGTTACGCTAAGATAGCTCTCCTCCTACACACTACCATGACGTTAAAAGGTTGTCAGTTCAACTCCCCCAGATCGATAACATCAAAATGTGGGTGGGAAAGGTAAAACACCCACATCTACTTCCACCCTGATTTGCCCTGCTCTGGGCCCTTGAGCAAGGCCCTTAACCCCCACCATCTGCTCCCCCAGGCACCCTCTCCGCTCCACACAGAGGGCTGTGGTTGTGTCAGGAAGGGCATCCAGTGTAAAAACAGTTGTCAAGTCGTCATGCAATTTAGTTTGCTGTGGTGACCCCTGAAGAAAGGAGCAGCCGAAAGAAGAAAGAAAAATTCAAAACATGTAGCTTTTCCCTATTTACAATTTCCTCTCAGTTATTAACATTTTCAGTACGCAATCAAAGTTTGACAATGACAAAATCTTTTTTTTTTCTCTCCCTCTCCTCTAAAAACTTGGACATGTAGTGCAAACGCAGTAGAAAATCTGTTTTTAAAATACCCGGTGTTGTGTGGATGGAACCACATACAATACACATACAATACAAATGCACATACAATACAGTAAATCTGGACAATTCTGGACTGTGTGACAATTTTCTGGGAGTTATGAGGTCATCTGTGTGAGCAGGGTGATTTGTAGGAAGAATAGCTGGTTAGAGACACAGAACTACAGTAAAGAAGCTCTTCAGCAGCCACAGTGCACACAGTTAGTGATGCAGCGCAGAGGTTGTTTAGCTCAGAAGTGGCGTAGGAAAAATGACGAGATGTAGAAATGTCTCATGAAGTGTTGGAACTAAGCAGCGAGGAACAGACCGAAACAAGAATCCAAAGTGAAGTGAAACCCGACTTTAATGTCTGAAACATGGCAACGTTGCAACACAGACATATACATTCTTACAGAAAAGAAGTCACACACATCTGCATTTTGAGAACAGCTACTGGTTCAAACTAAAATGATCACTGTCAAGAGGTAATTTATACATGTTTTTAAATAAATCAAGAAAAGTGGAATGTTTAGTACTTTAAGCATATCTTGTTGTTGTTGTTGTTTTCTTTTTGAATTTAATTCCAGTGGTGATAGTGGCTCATTTTGAACAATTTTCCTGACATCATTTCATTGCTTTTCTTTTCTACTCCTCTCTCGGTCTCTGCTGTAAAAAGCCACAATAGTCTGATAGTTTTACATAAAACTTACATTCAGCTGCACACAGCCGGTAACTATTTGTATATTTCTAAAAGTACTGCACCCATACTCAAAGATTATGCCTGCAACATCTAGCTGATAATCAAAGCTGACTAAGAGATGTGTATATCGATGAACAAGCGTGACGTGCTAGAATATTAATCTAAATAAATCAAGTGTCTACACATAGATGATGACTGGCTGTACAGTACAGTGAAGTGACAAACTGCTGCGTGAAAATGAGACAGAAATACACAAACTGTGTTAGTGATCACAAGTAGTTCGTCCCATTATTGACTTGTATCGACCAAATAATCAATGAAAACGATGACCAGAGCTCTTTAACCTGCTGCGGATGAATCACCACAGACATGAAATCAGTGTAAAGCAGTTTAGCTGTGAAATGAGTCTGATCAGATCTGCTGTGGTTCGCTCAACTGCTGTGCTCTTGTACAAGATGAAGCATTTCACCGAGGCCGAGGGTGTTCGTGTGGACAACTCAAGTCTCGACTTTTTCCTTCTGCTTCTTGCTTTTCTTCAAGAAGGATGGCGGCTTGAACTTCTTTTTCTTCTTGGATGGGGATTTGGATGGCGAACCCTCGGGGGTGTTACCTTGGGGTTTGGTCGGCAGAGCGGTAGGAGTGGAAGAGGTGTCGTTGGTGGAAAGAGCCTTCATCCCTTTCTCCAGCTCCTCCGTTGCCTGCTTCTCCTCCTCACCACCGTTTTGAATGGCAGGCAAGTCACTCTGTTCCGTCTCTGCTGCGAAGGTCGTTGAAAGGGAACAAACAAGGCAGACAATGTTCAGCAAACACACATGAGAGGACTCAGATGGGTGGAGCTGCAAAGCTACATGCTAACATGCTTGCTTCATGAGATTTGAGTTGCCGCATGGTTTATCTGTACTTACTAGAGGGACAAGACCAAAGCACCAGATGTGTGCCCTATAAACCAGTGGGACACGACACAGAACAGGACAGACACATGGACAGAGTACAACAGATACAGTATGTGCTGAGACAGACGAGCTGACTCGAACAGAAACAGACAACTATACATTTTGACCTCATTAATAAAATCCATACATTTGATCAGTTCTATATTAGGTCTGGTCCACTGGCAGGACTGAACTCAGAGTATCTTCTGATCGACACCAGGTTTTAAAATGATCCAGATTGATCCACAAGTGAAGGAAAACACACAACAGACTTTACTGTGTCATGACTAAAACAAAGCCAGAGACAAAAGTGAAAGTCTGAGCTGCCCATCAGACATATTGATTAACGGATCATCAGCAGCGTGATCAGCTCTATAAATGTGGAAGTTTCATTGGTTTGTTGCTCTGGAGCATACATGTAATAATAATAATGATTAATAATAATGTCATCACAATGTCAGCACTGTATGTTTCCATACAATGGCGAAATTAGTCTCTGCATTTAACCCATCCACCACCAGGTGGTGCAGTGGGCAGCTATTGAAAGCGCCTGGGCGGCTTTTGGGGATGAGGTGTGCTGCCCAGAGACACCACGTGATGTGCAGTGACTGGGGATCGAACCTGGGACTTTCAGGTCCCAAACCGGCTGCCCTGCCTTTACACCATCACGGCCCCCATACATGTGTGTGTTGACATGAGAGTGGGGCAGTAAGTAATATCTACAAACCTCAAAGAGCTGGCGCAACGTTGCAAAGATCTAAGTTCATGCTCAATAATCCAGGAATAAATCCATCAAAGTTCAGTCAGGTCCTCTGGACAGTTTCTTTTTGTTGCAACATTTCGTCTTTCATCCAGAGGACTTCATCGGCCTGAGGAGCTGGAACAAACTCAGTCCCACAAGTGGCACACTCACATAGTGAGCCAACCAGTTTCATGGTGCTAAGATGGTTTCTGGAGTCTGCCCTCTACCCCGTTGACTCGTCCGAGGTAGCCGTGGACAGATGACTTATGGGGGACTGATGAAGTCTTTTGGATGAAAGACGAAATGTTTTTAAAAAATGAAACCATCTGTAGGGGTTGCGGCTTGTTTCCTGGTGTCTAGCCCCATCTTGTGTTTCGGTCTTGTGTTCTCTTGATCGTCAGTTTCTGTTTTTTATAGTTTGTGTTTTCCTAGTGTCTGGCTCCATCTTGTGTTCCTGCACTCTCTAGTTTCCCAGTTTATCATTTTCCCTGATGTGTTTCAGCTGCATGTCCTCACAGGTGTTTTGTCTCATTAATCATTGTAGATAGGTCTGTGTCTCTGTGTTGATCCTTGTCCTGGCATTGTTATCTGTCCACTGGTGATGTCCTAGTTTGGTCTGTGTGAACTCCTTGATGCTCATGTAAGTTTTGCTGCACTGACAGCCTTTTGATTTTTGTAAATAAATACTTTATTTAATATTCCTCCTGAGTGTTCGAGTGCTTGCCTGCACCATTGGGTTTATCTGCACCAGCCCCTGTTACAACACCGTCCAGAGGACCTGACTTAACTTTGTTGGGTTGCAAAGAAGAGTGGGCCAAAATTCTTCCACAACCACAAGAAAAACAAACAGAAAACAACCGCTGAGAGCTGCTAAAACAGATTCTACAAGCTGCTGGGTCGTTGGCTTTTACACACAGCTTTTCCATTTTGGCTTAATTTTGTTAAATTAATAATAACTTGATGTGTGTGTGTTTACTTCAGGTTAGAGTTAAATAAATGTATATCCTGATAAAGAACAGATCATATTTTCCATCCAGTCCTGATGTCAAACTCTAGAATCAAAAGAGATGTGGCTTTCATGACTGTAATTATACTTAAAGTTGCAAAAACCTGGTTGAACCAGTCTTTTCCTGGTGTTTAAAGCCAAAATGTTTTATTTAACAAAAACCACTGACACTGACAAAATGTGACAGTGAATGTTACTCCTCCAGGTGTCCAACAAGCAGCACCAGGAAGAACTCCTTATCAACAATTTGCAAAAATATCAGCAAAAATGAAATATTTGATGTAGCAGCTACAAATGCTTTATTGTCCTATTAATACTTATTAGTGTGGTCAGGACAGAGACACGGTCAGCTGCTTATGAGGAGGAGTGACAGAACTGTGAGGGTTTGAAACATGCAAAGAAGCAGCATGGAAGGCAAGCCAGGCCGACAGTCTGAATCTGTGCTCTGCCGAGCCTCACCTGAGAGGAGGGCGTGGCCGCCTGCAGGGCCTTTAGTAGGGGAGGTAGCAGGGGGAGACTCGTCATTCTCCACTGCCTCCCCTACTGTCACACAGACACACAAAGAGGGAGGCAGAGTTCAAATGTTCAGGAGGTTGGATGAGTGAGGTAAAAGAGACGTGAGCACACGTTACACTTCATACGGGACTATAACGAGGGTCTATGCTGGAAACATGGAATTACTTTAAATACGTGAACTGTGAAGAGTCTACATGCACCACCGAGAGAGGCCAGAGGTCCATCAGAGAGATGTTCATGATGGCGTGTTAGGAAAAACAGGCAAATTAGTGCTCCTTATGTTCTGTTACTAGTTCATGCAGTTTTAGACCACAACATATTGAAGTGTCAGCAGAACACAACTCCTCAGAGGTGACGGTTAATTCTTTAAACATTTTGATGATGTTATGAACTCTGAGGCTAACAGCATAAAATGGTCCACTGGTTCTGTTTGGCTTTCTGCACACTGGTTTTTGTCTAAATGGTTTATGTCATGTTGGAGCATACGTGTCATTTAGCTGTAGTCTTCAGGTGTCTCTGAATCAAATGTTTGTCCACTGTCACAGAGTGAGAATGGAACTGGAAATACCCTCATGTGTCTGTCCATCAGTCCGTGTTGTGAGTATGAAAACTTGAAAAATAAACTCAATACTGACTTCCATTTTGGTGTGTGGCTACATCTAGGCGTAAGAAATATCACTAATGTCAATCAAAAATTGGGTTGTCAATTCAAGATGGCCACCACCATTTAGGCTATATATGTAACCCCCTCCTCCCATCATTAAAGAAAGCTCAGCTTCATAGTTTTTCATTGCCTAAAAGTATAGTTTCTTCAAATGATTAGGGTGGACAGTGGGGTGGTTGATTAATCATATGGTGGCCAAGGCCACCAATGGCCACCCCCAGGCTCTGCCGTTGGGCCAGGTCATGGACAAAATTGCTCCTTCTCCTCGACAGGATCTGTCACTCTGCACTGCCTCGGACAAACAAAACCAACCAATTA